TTTCACACTGCGTCTAAGCAACTGAACCTGGATTGACGACATCTTATAGCGGTAATTAATAATGCGATTAGCGTTGCTCGCTTCCTGAAGTTGCAAACTCAGTTTGCAGATCCCGCTGTTTTTCAAAACGTGCGGGTCGTCATGTACCATAGCCATGGGCATAGCGTACTGAATTATACAATCAGAGTACCAAGCGTAGTGGTCCGTAGTTGATACCACTCCGTTTAAATGGGTTTAATATGGTTTATTAAACATTACTAACAAACGTAGTAATTTTTTAACGAATGCTAGCCGTATATGTAGTCATTGTAGTGTTGTATATTCAACAGGCACTGCAACAATTGTTCAGTTACGCAATTGCACGTTGACCAAGTGAAAGATCATATTACAGACGTGTATTGAAAACATGATATTTAGCTAAATTTTTAAAGTTGAAAAATATATAGTGAAATATGATAAATATGGAAATACGATTTCAAAAAGTGACAAAATTTTTTTCTAAAAAAGCATCTAACTTTTTTATGCTCCCTTTGGAGTATTTCGCCGTGAAATCGCAGGAAATGGCCATTCCAGACTTCTAAAATTAAAAGAGAGCATGCTTCCGGACCCCCCTATAATGTGTAAGTTTTAGAGCAGGACCTGTCGAATTTCGCTAGCTACGCCACTGCTTGGTATCAACTCAAAGCTGCGTTTCAATGGGATCAAAGCAGTTTTTCTTTGCCCTTACATGAAAAACTAACATTGCAGCATTTTGAACTGGATTCCGCCAGTAAGATGAGAAATCATCTCGCAGAAGATGTGCTTGATAGAAAAATGCTTTTCCTTATGCAAGTTGGTATATACTAGTTCACAATATTCACAAACTTTGTCCATGGTCATGGTCAAAGACAAAATTAAAGATGTCAGAAGAGTAAAAAATAGAAAAGTATGCCTACAACAAATCATATATAAAATATTTGTCTATTTCTTATAGAGGTATCAGCAGCATTTGGATGAAACAGGAAGTGATGGAGCAACCATTGCTGCCACTATCTCATTGCTTGAGCACACCAGTTCCATGATCAGTCTGTTTAATGACAAGCTTTACATCAATAGTGTATACGACGAGAGGATAACGAAACTGCAGCAATTATATAACATGATGGCTGATTGGTATATACAATGTAAGGAATCAAAGAATCTGTTTGTTTCTGATAAACTTTGGTTTGACTTACAGTCTATGTGCATCGGTTTCAAATCACTGGTGGCTTTCAAACTTAGTAAGTTTCCAAATTCTGTAATCAAACCTGCAATAGTTAACCAAGATTGCGTGGAAAACCACTTCTGTCAGGTTCGAGCTTGTAACGGTCAGAATAACAATCCAACGTACCTTCAGCAACAATCGATTCAGAATTCGATACGGTTTGGTCAGACTTTAATCAGCAAAAAGAGCAATGCCGGTAAACCGAAACGTATTTAGATATGACATATTTTGAAAATTAACAGACGTATAAATTTTGAATAAACAAAATATAATATTATAACTATATATATAAAAAGTTCAGTAAGACACGGTACCGGATGAATTTGGGACCGGTCTGAAATTCGCGTCCCAATTAGGCCGTGTAAATACACGAGAACGACGGAACCGGACGAATTTGAGACCCCCTAACAAGACTAATTCTCGTGTAAACAGGCGAAAAAGGACGAATTACAGACCGCGGTCCAAAATTCGTCCGGTACCGTGTAAACGGGGTATATATATATATATATATATATATATATATATATATATATATATATATATATATATATATATATATATATATACTACACATTATGCCTAAGCCTTTATACGCACGCTCACTGCATTTCACAGTTTAAAAACGGCGATAAAGCACATAAGTAAAGACATTGTAGCGCCCTTCAAGGAAAGCTCAAACAACGGCAACTGTGGACAGCTGTTTCGCCCTTTTTGGGGCTCATCAGCACAGTGCACCGATGATGAGCTTCCACATACCAAGAATATATATACTATAGAAGACAGTGTGGTGGATGTGGGACACTACAGAACTTTGTATACTACACATTATGCCTAAGCCTTTATGCGCACGCTCACTGCATTTCACAGTTTAAAAACGGCGATAAAGCACATAAGTAAAGACATTGTAGCGCCCTTTACTTATGTGCTTTATCGCCGTTTTTAAACTGTGAAATGCAGTGAGCGTGCGCATAAAGGCTTAGGCATAATGTGTAGTATATAAAGTTCTGTAGTGTCCCACATCCACCACACTGTCTTCTATAGTA